GCTAAATAGTTTCTAAATTGTGTCCTGAATTTAGAAACACCCAATGTTTAAATGTTTTTTGCTTTTTATTGCAAGTTATAAGGCAATACGTACAAGTAGCACTTTGCTATTTCCAAACCATTCTTTTCTCAAAATTAGCTATAGCGACATTGAAACACTGATATCTGTCATGAATCCCTGAATAACCGTCCACATGTATTTATTTTTTAAAAGGAGACAACCCAAGGTATAAAATTTGGGGTATTTTGACTCTTTTCATGCTACCATTTTACCACCAATCTATGCCAATATTTGATTAAAAAAAATGTTGGTGATTTTTTGCCAGAGATTGGAATTTAAGAATACATGTACTGAGAACTTTAAGGGATACTGCCAAATAACACCACAATATGTGTTCAGCAACATTTCCTGAGTACAGTTATACCACCCATGCATAGGCTTGTTTTGGGGGTGCAATGCCAAACTTCTGACATGTGCTTGTCATTTGTATGACTTTGTGATTTGAGTTGAAATTGAGAGCTGCACTTTGGAGAATCAACTTTCTGAGTAAAAGGTTGCTGGAAATGCGTTTGTTTTGTTAGGTGTTTGGGAGAAGCTCGCCCCCTGTTAGAGAGGAAGACTGTCGGTTTAGTTGGCAAGGATTTATTTTTTGCTGTGGTTTGTTTTTCATATTGCAACCTTTTAATAAAACTGACTGCAGATTTCAAAGCACTTTGCTGCTTGGACATTATCATTTTCCCATTTGAGATAAACCCCACAATATATATATATTTTCCCTATTCAAAATTAACAATAATCTGGGCTTATACTTTCTGATTCTCTTATCCACCCTGTATTTCATGTGTCGTGTCTAAAGCCATTTTTTTCCCAGACCATTTTCTGGCTAGCTCATCTCCACTGCCTCTTTCTATTATCCTTGTGGATGGCAGTAAGGAGTCTGGAGTCATGGCAATTGTTGACTTTGGAAGATTGGCATAGTATCTTCAGTACCTTATCAAATAGAAAGGTTTCAGCATGAAGGGAAAACTCCTAGCAATCTTTGAGCAATAATCATACAATCAGATTGATCAGGGCATTCCTTTGTGCTCACCCTGAGAAACCTGGCCCTAGAGGAATCTTGCTGCATGCCTTTAATTTGTGGGCAATGTTACAGTACCTCTTGGGGCCACATCTGTTACAGCACCTCCAGAGTCTTTGTCTTTTTCGAGTGCATTAGGTTGTGGACTTTTGGCTATGGATGGGTGTGCATATGCATGGTGGGTTGAGGGTGAGTGTGCTTTTCAGTGTGCCCCTTATGTTTGGGCAGTTATGTATATTCCATTGCAAGCCTGCCTGTAGACTCCTAACCACATCAATGGTGGGTGCTGCAGTGATGAGCAGATGTTGTCACGTTAAGAGCAATGAAAAGAAGAATTACCAGCAATCCAAACGTGAAGCAATATGTCTTTTATTGACTCATGTTCACGATATCACAAAGCAAGCAATGATGTTTTGGGGCCACATGGGATTCCTTCATTGGGCAACACTGTTTGCCTGATGAAAGGACCCCATGCGGCCCTGAAATGTTGTTTGCTTTGCGATATTGTGAACATAGCTCAATAAAAGACATTGTTTCATTGATGTAGTGTTGGTGATTCTTTTCATTGCCCTTACATTTGGTCGTACACAATGTCCAAGGACACTACTTAAACCTCCCTCTTTATGGCAGCCAGTGCTGTGACTCCTTGCCAGCTACCTTGTTTGTAAGAATGCCGATTTCTGCTGTTAACTCAATCACCTGACTTTTGCTTTTCTCCTGACCCTGTTGCCAAATCTACCCCTTGCTGACTATTCTTGCCTGCCATGACCCCAGCCTGGTTACTAAATATCCTTGCTTGTCACCTGCCTTAATCTCTATCTGGACACTGACAATGCTTGTCTGCTGCCTGCCTACGCCTCTGCCTGCATACTATTTTTGCCTGCTGCCTGTCTCAACACAGACCTGTCATGTTGCCACCATTCTTTATCCTCCTCATAACCCCCGTTTCTGGGATGCCTTGGTGGGGTGATCTTGAGGGCTGTGACTTAGTGCAGCAAAATGGCCCGGGGTGCACTAGGGTCACCATTCCATCATCTCTTGTAGGGTGCTCTGATGGAGATTGAGGTGCCACTTAGACCCCATGCCTCATTTGAACATATAAATAAGTAGCAACATTTTTAGGAGCTGAAGAGAAAAACGTGAATTATCTTTGTTAGCTGTCAGAACTTCTTGTCAACAGATCAGTGGACACCTGATGAAATGTCTGAATTTTGTGTCTGTCCATGTTTGGGCCTGTGCTTACATGGGCTATGCCAATCAGGAACTTAATTCATCACACAGGTGAACACTCGTCATTACTTAACACTAACCTCTGAACTCTTGCATACCTACCATTGACCTCTATAATACTTGCTACTGAGCCCTCCTGACCACTACAATCTGCGTTACACACTACAGATCTGTGTTGCTTATGTGGTGTTCATAACTCTGGACTCACACGAAAAATTACTTTCATTACAATTACTGCATTACATACTACTGACCTTGGCACTGTTAATGAAAGTGAATATAAAATTTCTCACTGAAGCTAAAAACATAGGACAAGCTTATATTTTCAATGATGTTTATAATATATATGTTTTGGAAAGTATTCTTCAAACCTTTCTTACTTTTTAATAGGGCCTTTCTAGGTTATGTCCTTAGAAAAGGACCTCTGAATTCTTCCACCTCTCTAGGCTTGCCTACTGCTGATCTGAATAGTGCAATCAAAAAGACTATGCATCTGTGGACAGGAGACACACAGCTAGGACTTGATCAACAGAATGAGATGGTTAAGTCTTGTTTCAGAGTAGTGCTGCTGCAGGATTATGAATTTTCAGTGCTTTATTTTTTTTTTGTAGTGCAGATATGTGCATGTTCATGCTTCATGTGTTCTTTTTGCCAATGGCAAGCATATCTGCTGATACAATTAGGCACCATCTTCCTTTGAGGAGACTTTGTTTTTGTTTTCTGTGCACTTCCATTGGAAAGAACACACTGTGCATCACCAATAGAAGCACCGTTCCACAAATCACACTGCATCATGTTGCATTGGTGTGAATGGGCACCCTGAAGAATAATGTAATTTCCAATGTTGTGCAGTGCAATGGGAGATACAGGAAAATTCACACTAGTGTAAATGGGGCCTAAGTGTAAGAGTAACCTGGCTTCTAGCAAACAGCAGCTTAGCCTGAGGGCCCATTCACACCACATCCAGATCATCTCCTGACCAGATTGTTTCTGGACCCAAAATGCATTCCAATGTATCCCTATGCTATTTCTGGCCTCTGTTCACGCCAGCGCAGTCCGTTTCAGACCAGACCAGAAAAATACTGCATGCCTCATTTTGTCTGGAACACTGGAACTGCGGGCAGGTTCACACCATTTTCCAGACCAGATCACGGCAGTGAGTGAATAGCCGAATGATCGGCTATTCTGCCCGGTACCTCCGTGGTACCAAGCAGAATAGCAAATAGTAAAAAAGTATATAAAAAAAAAAAAGTTGAAAAAATATTTTTAAATGTTAATAAATATTAAATTTAAAAAAAAAGAAAGAAAAAAAACAACAATTGGGGCGGAGCTAGCAGTGACAGCTAGCTCTGCCCAACTATTTCCTATTGGCCGGCACCTGCTAGAGTCTTCCAGCAGGTCCCGACCAATGAATAACAACTAGGCAGAGCCAGCCATGATGTCAAGGCCGGCTCCGCCCAGTTGTTATTGTTTAATGACAGATCAGCATCCCCAGGTCACTTTGGGACGCTGATGTCATTACAACTGGGCGGAGCCAGCTGAGATCGACTGAACCGAAGGGCTCCGGCGGCCGAAAAGAGCCAAAGGATCAACCAAATTTACGGCTGGATCCTTTGTGAATATGTCCTCCTGTAACCTTGAAGAGAACTATGGCCAAAAAATGGCCAGTGTTCAGCAACTCAAAGCCTGTTTACAGTGCAGGCTCAGTGTCCCCAAGCAGATTTTTATTCATCGACTCTGAGCCTGCACTTTTAATAAGGGGGTGTGTGCGTATGTGTGTACATGGCTCTGTTATCACTGTCGCTAGCAAGTGCAGCCACTGACAGGACAGCATGCATATTTAAGGTCACCAAAAGCCCATAGATACCGACACGTAAGCCCGTGACACACTACACGTGAAGCAGCGGCACGTGAACCTTCCCGTGCAGTGTCTTGCAATTTTCACTCCGGCATGTCAGCTTGCATAGCTGAGCGTGCTGAGATGAAAAAATGTTATCTTCAGCCAATCGGCTTGCGTGTATAAACCCTGTGTCAGAATTCGAAGTCCATTGAGTGGTTGCACGTGAGCCGATTGGCTGAAGCTGCAGTCTTGTATCTGGCTGCGCTCCGCTAATCAAGCTCCCACACACTACATGAGCACGTCTGTACCTTGCAGCTTTGCATGCAATGTGTTATGGGCTTAGAGCCTGTGACTCACTGCATGCAAACCTTTGTGTGCAATCTTTTTTCCGGTGTGTCAGCTTGCTAGAGCTCACATAGCGAGATTTAAAAAATGTCCTCTCCAGCCGGTCAGCTCGCGTGCATAATTTTGGGGCACGAATTCCACTGAGTTCTTGCTTGTGAGCCAATTAGCTGAAGATTGGGCCTTTCATCTCGCCACGCTCAGCTACACGAGCTCTCACACACTGCATGTGAACATCCACGCCTCGCAGCTGCGTTTTGCTCCACGCTGCTTCTTCTGCACTGTCACAGGTTTTAGACTTGTCTCCATAAGGTTAGCCCTGCTGCAGCAAGAACTCTTGTGGCTGTGTTGAGGCCTCTGCGCCCCCTTAATCCTCCTGTAATAATCAGGCTTTCTTCCTGTCAGCGGTAGCGATACATTCATGAATTCCCCGCCAGTCTGTCCCACCAATCCCGTGCTGCGGTCCTCCTATTCCTCACACTGGCACGGCCCAGTCCCTAGTGAAGCTTGGAAAGGAAACAACAAACATGGCGGAATTTCCTAGCCTGGCCGCTTCATTTACAGTTCGGCTTAACGTTTGCCTGCGCCGATACTGGACCTACATATGGCTGTCGCTGCTAGTGGCGGGCTTGTTTCTTCTTTACCACTACCGAGCGCCGCTCCGACTGTACGAGGGTGTACTGGCCGGTGAGTGCACAGCGGCTTAATACGAGCCCAGGCCTCTGGCTTCCGCTCGGTTGCCTAGCAACAGCGATTCAGGCGTGCGGGCTGCTGATTCGATGAGCAGCTACAGTCCAAATACATATGCTGTACTGTTGTGGGACTATAACGTCCAGCCTGCCCAGATAGTGTACGTGTTAGGACATATACGTTTGAAATTCTTCTTACACTAGTGTAAAAACCTAACTCAGACTTCTTCTGTGGCACTACTAACATGCCTAGCAACAGATTACACTCGCTCTCTTTCTATATATTTTTGTTTGCCGGATAGTAATGTTCTCTTCATTGTAAACATTCATGTAGGTGTGATGTATGTGTCCAGCTAAGCCAGGTTAGAGTGCCACAGTTTGATGATTATACCAAAACTATTATATCCTGGATGTTGTAAGATCCGTGTTCAATGCCAGGCTACAGACACGTTTCCAGATTTGTGTGGACCTTTGTTGAGATTGCTTTAGACCCGTTCAGACAGAGCATTTTGTCGCGCAATTTCGGCTCCGAAATCGCGCATATTTCTATGCGATATCGCTCTATGTAGCTTGTCCAATGCATTGCAATGGAGCTGTTCACATCTCAATGTCGCCTGTAGCTCGTCGCTCAAACTTGTTGCTCGTACATGACCCTTTTTTTTGGCGGATGTCGAGTCAAGCAGTACCGGCGATAGTGCACGACCTTGTTGCGCGATATCGCGCTACAGAAGGGTCACTTTTGCACTGCAGAATGGAAGGAAAGAATGATGTCACATCAAGACCGCTGTTGATTGGTTTACAGCCCAATGTAGCAGCGACGAAGTCCCTCCCAAAAGTCGCGCTACTTAGCGAGATAAAATGTGCACTGTCGCTCAATATCGCGCATTGTAGCTCGATGCAGCTCAGCCCGGAATCGCGTAGAAAACCGCGCAATCACCATATCGCTCAGTGTGAATGGGGTCTTAAGGTTGGGTACAAATGAAAAAAAAAAAGTGTTTGAAAGTTGCCGTAAAATCGCTGTAACTGTTAATAGTCAACATATGTACCCTATGGTATGAGAGTAGTATATGTGTTATGTACAACTACATTATTTTCATTTTTATGAAATAAAAGTGACACTAAACTCAGGAGTTCAGTCTTAAAAATACATTCAAGTACCTAAACTAATAACAAAAATGTATCTTGTTTGTGTATCACACAGCTGTAGATCCTCAAATCATTTATGAATTGGTGCGGACACTGTCCTTCCTTCTGCAGGGTGGCTACTTTGTTCCCCATGGTCCCTGTGTGTGTTGTAAAGTAGCCACCGCTCCAAGCTCACTTCCATGATGGACTACAATCTCACATTTAGTTTACTAATTTGTATTGAGATTGTAGTCTACCGGTATCACAGCCGTGAGCTTGGAGTGGCGACTACTTTACAACACACAGAGGGCAGGGCCGGTGCTAGCCTATTTTGCGCACTAGGCAAGACCAGCTACTTGCGCCCCCTCCCCCCCCCAAAAAAAAACCCATAAAAATTGCCAAGTTTGATTGTTAAAGACAGATTTGTAGAATTAACTAAACAATAAAACACAAAACATATACAGCAATGCAGAATACCACCAGCTATAGAGGACAATAAGCAATGCAAAGCAGAACTACAAATCACAGCAATACAGTATACAGCAATGCAGAATAATAGTATATGAATGTTCTACATCAGCGGTTCTCAAACTGTGGGTCGCGACCCAAAAGTGGGTCGCCGCCCCTTCTTGAGTGGGTCGCGGCAGTGTTGGTCACTCCCCAGCCGCCTGATGTCGCTGCAGCAGTCAGCGGGGAGGAGCAGAGAGAGGGATGCGTGTGGAATGACACGTGATCAGTAGGTGAGGAGGTTCCCTTCCCGCCGATACTGCTTCACTAACTACCATGGGCCGTCTGTATCATTCGGCAAGGAGGGGGCCCATCAATGCAGGAATGCTGGCTGTGTTCGGTGTCTCGGCTTCCATTGTCTGCTCCGCCCACTCTGCACACTTAACTTTCCCGTGCACTGTCACCAGGCTCTGCTGTAAATGAGCAGCATGTCCTGCCCTGAGAGCCGCTCCGACCCCTCTAATCCCGGCCACCTATTTCTGCTGCTGGCTGCTGTGCCTATTAAGGAGGCAGAACCGGCACTCTAATCATGGGGCTGCAGCCCTTGGAGTTCAGGCACACAAGGCAGAGCTGGACAGATACAATAAGTGCATCAAGGACCTGGTGAAAGAAGGACCTAATTGCTGCCAGTGAGCGAGACCTGGCACAGGGAGAAGGATGGCACAGTAGGGGGGGGGATAGGACAGGACAGTGAGGGAAGGATGGCACAGTACAGGGGGGAAGTATGGGACAGGACATTGGGACATGGCAGTATGGGGGGGGGATGGTACAGGATGGGGGGTGAGGTTGGCACAGTACAAAGTGGAAGGATGAATAGGAGGGAGGGTGGTACAATTCAGGGGGTAGGATGGTACAGTACACAGGTAAAGGATGGCATAGGACAGGGTGGAGGGCAGCACCATTCTGTTTACTATGCGATTGACATTGTGTAGTTTTGCTTCACCTCTGCTGTACGCCGCACAACCTCTCCCTTTTTTGGGATGCTGTGGTGGAGAGGGGAATTGCATGGTGGGTGCAGGGCAAGTAGGTGGTGTGGCGGGTAGGGGACGTGGCTTGGGGGTAGGGGTGAAAAATGGCCCAGAAAAATGTTTGCTCAGGGTCCAATAAATATTAAAAGGCTGCCCTGCTGACCACTTCAGAGATTTTACTGACTGCCGCTCAGTGTTAAGCTTAATTTTAATGCTAATTCTGGGGACCTTAAAATGGTTAATTAGGACTGACTTGTAACCTGCTCTTCAACATGCAGCGGCTGTGTCATCTCTAAATTTTACCTTTGGGGGTCACCACAACTTGGCAAATGTTCCAAGGGGTCCCGGCCCTAGAAAGGTTGAGAACCACTGTTCTACATACTTTGTGCTGCTGCTCTGTTCCCGGGGTTCCGGTCTGATGTGTCGGGCAGAGGGTCTTAGGAGGGGTGCAGAAAGTCTCATAAAGGGGTGTGGAATGTCTCAGGATGGGTGCAGACGGTCTTAGTGCTCAGTCACACTAGATGCAGTGCGTTCCGGCCTGATTTTGGCCAGAACGCACTGCCTTGCATTGCGGCCGGCTCACTTTTTAGTGGGGCAGGAGGGGGCGTGGCGGGCCTTTTAAGTGAATGGTGCCGTAGCCACGCCCTCTGGCCGCAATGCGATACGCTGCACGGGATCGCAAGGCACATTGTGCCTGCGGTCCGGTCCTGTGCGGTGCGATCAAAATAGTGCTTGCAGCATTTTGATTGCACCGCAAGTGAATGGCGCCGTAGCCACGCCCTCTGGCCGCAATGCGATTCGCTGCACGGGATCGCAAGGCACATTGTGCTTGCGGTCCAGTCCTGTGCGATCAAAATAGTGCTTGCAGCATTTTGATTGCACCGCACAGGATCGGACCGCAGACACAATGTGCCATGCGATCACGTGCAGCGTATCGCATTGTGGCCAGAGGGCGTGGCTACGGCGCCCCCTCCTGCCCCACTAAAAAGTGAGCCGGCCGCAATGCGAGGTAGTGCGTTCTGGCCAAAATCGGCCCGGAACGCACTGCATCTAGTGTGACTGAGCCCTCAGGATGGATAGAGAAGGGCCTCAGGAGGGGTGCCAAAGGTCCCAGGAGGGTTTGCAGAGGGTCTCAGGAGGGGTGCAGAAAGTCTCAGGAAGGGGCCAGGCAGGGCCCGGATTCCTCACAAGGCCATGGAGGCCCGGCCTCGTGGTGGCAGGGATCAGAGGGGCGGCAGTGGTTTGAAGTCTCCCAACATGTTCCGGGCGGTAATTTGTTTTCTACATTTAGCTCTGCTTTGCACCAGCAGGGCTTAATGTAGAACGGGGGAAACCACTTGTTTGTTTACAAGTGATCTTGGGGATGTCGCCAAGATCACTTGTAATAAGACTGCAGGTTGTTCGTCCTCTTCCCCGCCGCCCCCGCTCCTACCTCTCTCCATGCTGGCTCCGTCCTCCCACCAGCGTCGCTGAGTATCTCTCCTCGCTGGCTGTCGCCGCCTTCAGGATGGAGAGCGGTGAGCAGAGCGGCAGGGTTCAAACTAACCCTGCCGCTCCATGTAAACAGTGAGAGCGGAGAGCAGTCTTCCCCTCTCACCTGTCTGTGCTGTGCTACAACTCCTGTATTGGAGGTGACAGGGTCAATAAAGAGAACCTGTCACCTCCAAATGCTGTCACGCAGGGGCTTGTTAGCTGCTGTGTGATAGCAATAAAGTTAAGTAAAAAAAAATGATAAAAAAATAATGACATAAAAAATAAAGTAAAAAATAGATAAATAGTAAAAAATAATAAGAAAATAATTGTAAATAAAAAATAAGATGAAAAATTATAAAAAAAAGTAAAAGATGACAAAGTAAATCAAAATGTAAAAGAATGAAAAAGTGATAAAAAAGTTTAAAAAAATAAAGAAACAATAAAAAACGAATTCTCCATGAGGGGGGGGGGCGCATTGAGGAACCTGGCCTTGGGGCAACAGGGGGAGTAAATCTGGTCCTGGGTGCAGAGGGTTTCAGGAGAGATCCGGAGGGTCTCAGGAGGGGTGCAGAAGGTCTCGGGAGGGGTGTGGAAGGTCTCGGGAGGGGAGCGGAAGGTCTCGGGAGGGGAG